TGTTAACTTTCCACCCACCGGCCTCCAGATTCAAACGATCATCCTCCACCATTGCCACTGCCTCTATCAGGATGACACCTCTTCTTCCTCTCTCCTTGTCACCATTCCCCAAGGTCCGTTCTCTCATGATCCATGCTTCTGTCTTTCCTAACCTTCCTCAGTCCTCCATGGCACCTTCCTATGCAATTGCAGAGGGTGCTGCACTTGCCCTTTTACCTCTTCCCTCCTCACTGTCCAAGGCCCCAGACCCACCTTACAGGTGAAGCAGCAATTTACACTACTACTTTCAATATAGTCTACTGTTTTCACTGCCAACACTGGTCTCCTTTACATTGGTGAGACTTAACATAGACTGGCTGACTACTTTAAGGAACACCTCCACTCTGTCCGCAAGTGCTGCCCCAATGTTATGGCTGCCTAACTTTTCATTACACCATCCTAACTGCAGGTCCAGCACTTCACTTTCTACTTAGGCACTTTATATGTACTAGTGCCACGGGTTTGCTCACTGCAGAGTTAATCTATTTTTCACTATTCATACCTATCACTTGCACCTTTTTTGCATTGAAATCTCTCCTTTACTACCATTAGCGTTCAAACTCTTTGGCCCTAAGCACCATAAGACCATACACTATAGAAGCAGAGTTAGGCCATTCAGCCCATTGAGTTTGCTCTGCCATTCAATCATGGCTGAAAGATTTCTGAATCCCATTCTCCTGCATTCTCCCCATAACCATTGATCCCCTTACCTATCTAGAACTTATCTATTGCTATCGTATATACACTCAATAATTTGGCTTCCACAGGTCTCTGAGGCATTGAGTTCCACAGATTACCCTCTGGCTGGAGAAATTCCTTCTTATCTCAGTTCTAAAGTGTTGTGCCTTCACTTTGAAGCTGTGCCCTTGGGTTCTAGTCTCCTACTAGTGGAAAGATCTTCTCCATGTCCAGTCTATCGAGTCCTCTTGGTATTCTGCAAGTTACAATGAGATCTCCTTCATCCTTCTAACCTCCATCAAGCACAGACCCATAGTCTTCAACTGCTCCTCATATGACAAGTTCTTCATTCCCAGGCTCATTCTTGTAAATATCCTCTCAAATCTTCCAATGCCAGCACATTCTTCCATAGATACAGGGCCCAAAATTGCTCACAAATTGCAAATTTGGTCTAACCAGAGCTTTATACAGCTTCAGTAGTACATCTCTGGTCTTGTATTATAGCCCTCTTGAAATGAAAGCCAACATCGCACTTGCCTTCCTAACTGCCAACTGAACCTTCATGTTAACCTGAACAGAATCCTGAACTAGGACTCCTCAGTCTCTTTATGCTTTAGATCTCTGAAGCCTTTTCCCATTCAGAAAACAGTCTATGCTTCTATTCTTCCCATCAAAGTACATAATCCCACATTGTATTCCATCTGCCACGTCATTGCCCATTCGCATAACATGTTCAATTCCTTTTGCAGCCTCCCCACTTCCCTTGCACTACTTGTCCCTCCATCTATTTTTGTGTCATCTGCAAACTTAGCAAAAATGCCCTCAGTTCCATTATCCAGACTGTTGATGTATAATGTGAATAGTTGTGGTCCCAACACTGACCCCTATGATTCTACACTAGTCACTGGCAGCCATTCTTTAAAAAATGACCGTTCTATCCCTATTGTCTGCCTTCTGCTAGTCAGCCAATCTTCTGTCCATACCAGTACCTTACCCCTAACACCATGGGCTCTTTTTTTATTCAGCAGCCTCCTGTGTTTCACCTTGTCAAAGGCCTTTATACTCTCACCATTTGTTCCACTTTCTTCTCCTCTCTTTGTCAACAGCATAAAAAAAATTATGTTCCAGATCCCTTCATTTTTGAAGAAGTCATTGGACATGAAATATTAACTCTTTCTGTCCCTGGAGATGCTTCTAGACCTGCTGGGTTTCTCCAGCATTTTCTAGTTTTATAAAAGCAAGGATTTCTACTTTAATTGTGCTAGGTGCTGGTGAGTGAGACAACATCTCGAATACCGTCTGCAGTTTTGGTGTCCTTTTTCAAGGAAGGATGTCAATGCATTGGAGGCAGTTCAGAGGAAGTTTAGTAAAATGATACCTGAAATGAGCAAGTCACCTTATGAGGACAGACTGGACAGGCTCAGCTTGTTACCACTAGAGTCTATAAGACTGAGTGGTGGCTTGACTGAAGCGTATGAGATCATGCATGGTCTTGACAAGGTGAACGTTGAAAAGATGTTTCCACTGTGAGTCAATCCAGAGCATAGAGTTCTGATTTACAGTTAGGAGTTGCTCTTTCAGGACAGAGTTAAGAAGATTTATTTTCTTTTAGAAGTATGTACAATATTTGAACTCTGTACCTAAGAAAAACTGAAGGGAGGGTCATTGAATATCTAGAAGGGAGAGGTAGACAGATTCTTGTTAGGCACAGGATTTAAGGGTTATCAGCTATAAATGAAAATGTGGATTTCGAAACACAACTGATCAGCCATGATCTTTTTGAATAGCAGAGAGGCTCAAGTGGCCAAATAGTCTACTTCTGCTCCTATTTCATATGTTTGTATGTTTGGCATTGATGAAATATCAAATAATAGAACTTGCAAGGCTGAAGCCCACGCAATCAAACAGGCAGTGACAGCATGGATTTAAATTTGGTTAAATGGCCGGAAACAAAAAAGTAGGAAGTTTTTATTGGATTGGTGGATTTTTTTTTATTGGTGGAGCTTTTTTACTGGTGACTGCAGAGGTGATGGCCTAGTGGCATTATCACTAGACTATTAATCCAGAGACCCTGGTCATGTTCAGTGGACCTGGGTTCAAATCCCGTTATGGCAGATGGTGGAATTTGAATTCAATAAGTAACTGGAATTAGGAGTCTAATGATGATCATGAAGCCATTGTCAATTGTCAGGAAAACCCATCTGATTCACTCAAGTCCTTTAGGGAAAGAAACTGCTGTCCTCACTTGATCTGACCTACACATGACTCCAGACCCACAGCAATGTGATTGACACTTCATCGCCTTCTGGGCAATTAATCATAGAATCCTTACAGTGTGGAAACAGGCCCTTCGGCCCAACAAGTTCACACCAACACTCAGAGCATCCCACCCAGACCCATCCCCTATAATCCACCTAATCTACGCATCCCTGAACAAAATTTAGCATGGCCAATCACCTAGCCTGCACATCTTTGGACTGTGGGAAGAAACCAGAGCACCTGGAGGAAACCCATGCAGACAGAGGGAGAATGTGCCGGTGGCAACAAATGCTGGCCTGTCCAGTGACACTCACATCCCATGAATGAATATAAAGAAAGCTATTCAGTGATGTTAAGTCAATACTTAGTCAGCACTAATGACACTGCTTTTCCTGGTGCAGTGCACTTTTTTTTCAAACTTTGTACATGACACCGAACCTGCCAACATTGTAAATTGCAAGGAGGATACTGAAAGACTTCCCAGAGGACATAGTGATTGGCTTGTGGACTGGGCAGGCATGTGACATATTTTGATCAGAATAATGAGGGAGACAAGAAAAAATAAGGGTACAATTCCAAAAGGGAGTGTAGGAGCAGCAGGACCTGGTGGTATTTGTGTATAAATTCTTGAAGATGGAAGGGTACTTTGGGAAAGTAGTTAAAAGGCCTTTTATCCTGGGCGGCCTTCTAAAGAGAGACAAAGAGTACAAAAGTTAATTATAAATCTTTTAAAACACTAGTTTAGACTCAGGTGGTATACTGGACTCTATTCTGGGCACCAATATTTCAAAAATGAAGGCTTGAGAGTGGGTACAGGAAAGGTTAACAGGAACTGTCCTCGGGATGAGAGATTGCAAGTTTGTGGAATGATTGGAGAAGCTGGGATAACTATCTGTTGAGGAGATTTGATATATGCGTTCAACATAGTAGAGTGTCTGGACAGAGCAGGTAGAGAGAAACTGTTTCATGTTGGCAGAAGTGTTGAGAACCAAAAGGCACCAAAATAAGGTGAATGACAAAATAATCAATGGCAAAATGAGGAGAACTCTTGAGAGATAGTAGCTTTCAAAACAGAATTTAATCATTTTTGAATAGAAACAATTGCTGGACTACAGGGCAACTGCAGTGGGGAGGGGCTGGCTGAGTTGCTCCTGTGAAAAGGTGGCATGGATACAATGGTTCGAATGTCATCCTTGTGTGCTGCAACCATTTTACTATTTTATCACTTCAATTAATTAAAACTGACTGGAAAAGTGGCTTTAAAATGGAAATTGAATTATATCTGCTTGCTCTAGGTCCACTATACGCAAAAACTACAATTAGCCTTGATTTGCCTTGAGCCACTCTAAGGGACATCAACTGGTGTTGCTTACTTGCAAAGAAAAATATCCTTCAAGCAATTGCATGCAACAGAAACCTGCTTGACAATGTGAACAGATCACACTTCACATCTTTTGGCTTTTAATCACATAATGTAGCAAGATCCACCCCATCTATGTGCCCACACCTCATACATACACACCCACACAGACAATTTTAGACTGCAACAATCTACAAGTAAAAAAGATTTACTGAAATCTCAATGCTTTCATATACCTAGAAAACTAGAAGTCACATTCAAAATCATCAACAAGATACATCTGTTATAAATTAAGGCAGGTATTTTGGAATATTTCATACTGTAATTCAATAACATTGTGAAATTGATGTGTTATTAATTTACACCGCTACCTTATCTGCAACAATTTTTGTACTTTACATTAACTTGCAAGTGGTTATCAAAATCTAAACATTTTTTCATAAAAAAACCTCCCAGGCTTCTAAATTAAAATGATGAAAAGATAAAGTGAAAACAAAACTGTTTAATTCAGAACTAATGAGAGCTGTTATGTTGGCCTCACAGTGCTGGACAGGCTGATAGGTTTAAATGCTTGTATTTGTGCTCCCTAAATTTAATATCTCTGCACTCTTCACATAATTACTTGTCGTTAATTTTAAAACAGAAAGCAATGAAAGATTCCTACCCAGGAAAACCCAATACAGCCGATGGCACCAGATAACATATCGCCCAGAAAACCGGGAAAGGAGCAGGCAGCGGGAAAATAGGCATGAAAATGAGGACTTTGCCAGTGGGTTACCTGTAGATAAATGTAAATTGTCACAATCAATATTATTTCCAAAACAAAGCAGGTGTCAGTACATTTGTAGTCATCGCTAATGTGACTAACTTCCTGTTCTCAATCCAAATTTACTGTTATAGCAATTGACCATTTGGTTAAGATATTAAGGAGGATACAATGCTTTATTTGCCTCTCTAAATCCGTTTCGATTTAGCCCCTTCCCGCTCTTCCTACCTCCCCCTCACTTCTGATGGTTTGCATTGCCCATAATTATATTTAAATAGCTACATGGTCATTACTGGTGATGGCTAGTAGCTAAAACAAAAGCAAATAAAAACGCCACGGTGAATTTGGTGATGGGAAAGTCGCTCAGTTGGGCACTTTTGGGTTAAAAAATGTAAGGGTTCTGATGAAGGGTAAAAACCGAAAGAACTGCGGATGCTGTAAATCAGAGACAAAACAGAAATTGCTGCAGAAACTCAGCAGGTCCGGCAGCATCTGTGGAGAGAAATAAGAATTAATGTTTCGGGTCGAGTGAGCTTTCCTCAGAACGGATGAAGGATGACTGGGACCGAAACGTTAACGCTGCGTTGTCTCCACAGATGCTGCCAGACCTGTTGAGTTTCTGCAGCAATTTTTGTTTTTATTTCAGTTTCTTCATCTTGTTCAAATATAAGACAACAGGTAGTTTCAGAATCATAATTGAAATTTTTATCACTGCTGCACGGTACGTACAAGCTACAAAGGTTTAGCACCAGGGATCGAATTTGCAGGTTGAATTTGCTCACCCCGGGCATAATGACTCTCTCGACGTCCTTCATCAGATCCTCGAAGCTGTCTGGTTCCTGGGGTGCGCTGTCCGGAATTAGCGGTCGTAGGTACCCGGGCTGTACCGCCGGGTAAACGGGACGCTGCTCGATGAATTTCAGGTAATCTGTGATATAATCTACCATCTGTTTACCCCTTGTACGGAATTCTTCGAAATCCATGGCGTTTGTCCAATTCCAACTAAAGAAAGCAGCAGAATTGTTTTTAAAAAATTGAAAATTGGTGCACAGCCTAAAACGTAAAATTTACACAATGCTAATCCACTATGACAACTACATGAGCCACCTTTGATGTCTCTTCAAAGGTAAATCTAAACTGCAGGTCAAATTCGATTTGTATATTCTCTGTGCACCGACCTTTCTTCACCAATTCAATTGCAAATGAATAGAAAATGCGTTTACTGTTTATTGCAGAGTGCACTAACATTGCTACACTTACCACGGTGACCCTTTTAACAAATCCTTTCTACCGTAAAGTAATCCGAATGTAGTTAAGTACAGTTTGACGCTGTGTACTTACCAGCCGGATTATTACACTTTCTAAATGATAAACTGCTGCTGAGATATTGTACTAACGCATGATTGAAATGAACTGTACTCACATGTGAGCACAATGCCGCTGACTTGCACTTTGTTCTTTCCCGTTTCGGGCAAAATGTTAGAGGAAAATATATATATATCACAGTCTTAGTCACTGCAGGTCAAGCAATTCTCCCCGCAACTGCAATCGCCAATCACAGTCAGGATCAAGCTCCTCCTTTGCTTTAGACTTACCACCTACGTTTGACAAACCGGTTAGGAAAACCTCCAACATGCCCAAGAAGGGGTAAAAGTAGAAAATAAATTCAGTAATACTTGAAAATTAACGCCCTGGTCGTGCTGACTCACTGAGGATACATTTTCCTTGTGGGTGCCTGAACTTTTAACATAGAAAACACAACGGAGGAACGAGGCCATCCTATCCATGGTATCTGTGTTTGGTAAACAGCCTGAGTCCACTTTCCAACACTTTCTAGATTCATAGCTGGAAGGTCAGAATTTAATACTGTCCCCCTCTGGCAAGTTTTCAAGGGCAGGAGGGTCATTTAATCAGATAGCTGGATGGTGAGTGGGTGACTGGATTGAAGATTGGCTGACTGGCCAAAGGCAGAGAGTAGGAATAAAGGGGTCATTTTCAGGGAAGGTACAGAGTTTGGACTCATTCATATAACTATTCACATTATACGTTAATGATCTGGACAAAGCAACTGCGGGCACTGTTGCTAAGTTTGCAGATGACACAAAGATAGGTGGAGGGACAGGCAGTGCAGGGGAAGTGGGGAGGCTGCAGAAGGAATTGAACATGCTAGGAGAGTGGGCAAAGAAGTGGCAGATGGAATACAATATCAAAAACAGTGAGGTTATGCACTTTGGTAGCAAGAGGTGGAGACTATTTTCTAAACAGAGAAAGGCTTTGGAAATCGGAATCACAAAGGGACTTGAGAGTCTTAGTTCAGGATTCTCTTAAGGGTAACATGCAGATTCAGTTGGCGATTAGGAAGGCAAATGCAATGTTAGCATTCATTTCAACAGGGCTGGAAAACAAGAGTACAGATATTCTGCTGAGGCTGTACAAGGGTCTGATCAGACTGCATTTGGAATATTGTGAGCAGTTTCGGGCCCCATATCTAAGGAAGGATGTGCGGGCATTAGAGGGGACCAGAGGAGGTTTACAAGAATGATCCCGAGGATGGAGGGATTGTCACAAGAGGAGCAATTGAGGACTCTGAGTCTGTACACGATGGAGTTTAGAGGGATGAGGGGGGAATCTTATTGAAACTTACAGAATATTGAGAGGCTTGGATAGAGTAGACATGGAGAAGATGTTTCCAGCAGTAGGAGAGACTAGAACCCAGGAGGCACAGTGCCAGGGTAAAGGGATAACCTTTTAGAATTGAGATCAGGAGGAAGCCAGAGACCAGTTAATCTCTGGAACTCTTCACCACAGAGGGCTGTGGAGGCCAAGTTATTGAATGGTATTTAAGACAGAAATGGATAGGTTCTTGATTGGTAAGCAGAACAAGGGTTATATGAAGAAGGCAGGAGAATGGGTTGAGAAACATATCAGCCATAATCGAATGGCAGAGCAGACTCACTGGGGCAAATAGCCTAATTCTGCTCCAATATATTGTAGTCTTATGAAAGCCTGAGTCCAGGGTTTGGTGCTGTGTCCTTTCCTGTTTGTGGTTTACATTAATGAGCTAGACATGAATTCAGAAGGCTTAATCAGTAAATTTGCAAATGAGGTGAAAATTGGTGGTGTGTTAAATAGTGCAGAGAAAAGCCTTAGGCTACAAGACTACATAGACTGTCTGGTCAGACGGACAGAACAATGGCAAATGGAGTTTAATTCTGAAAAGTGTGAGATGATTTGTTTTGGAATGACTTAACGAAGCAAGGGGGTACACATTAAACGGTTGGACCTGAGGAAGGACAGAGGGTCAGAGCAAGAAATAGGTGTGCAATTCCATGGATCCTTGAAGGATACAGGTCATGTGAACAAGGTGTTTAAGAAGGAATTTGGGATACTTGCCTTTATTATTTAAAACATTGAATACAAGAGCAGGGAGGTTATGATGGAACTATATCAGTGGTTAGCCAGTACCGGCTGCAGTATGTACCATTTCTCATCGCCATACAAAAGCAAGGATGTGATTACACAAGAGATAGTGCAAAGAAGATTTGCCAGGATGTTGCCTTGGCTGGAGCAATTCAGCTATGAAGAGCAGCTAGATAGGCTGAGTTGCTTTTCTTAGAGCAGAGCATGTTGATGGGGGACAGTACGGTGGCTCAGTGATTAGCACTGCTGCCTCACAGCTCCAGGGACTTGGGTTTGATTCCACCCTCAGGTGACTATTGGTGTGGAGTTTGTACATTCTTCCAATGTCTGTGTGGGTTTCCTACCACAGTCCAAAGATGTGGAGGTCAGGTGGATTAGCCATGGGAAATGCAGTGTTGCAGGGATGGGGGTATGGGTCTGAGTGGGCTGCACTTCAGAGGATCAGTGTGGACTTGATGAATCTTATAGCGTCCTGAACAACATGGGCTATGGTGGGAAATGTGGCAGCATTCCTGTGTGAAGAGCAGCAAAGCCAATCTTGATGTCAGGAAAACCTTAATGCATTTTTCAACTGAGTTCCAGGTGTCCATACAAAATTCTTGCTAGGCAGCAGTGAGTTGCCTATTAATAGGGATTATGGCTTGTTAACAACCTTATTAACTGTAAATTTTGCTTCATTCACTTGCAGCTTTCTATCTTATTCTCAACATGGAAGTCAGAGGTGGACAAGGTCAAAACTCGCATGACACCAGGTTATAGTCCAACGGGTTTATTTGAAAATGCAAGTTGAAGAGAGAGCTGAGCTCCGAAAGCTTGCATTTTCAAATAAACCTGTTGGACTATAACCTAGTGTGGTGTGATTTTTGACCTTGTCCACCCCAGTCCAACACCGGCACCTCCACATCATCCATCACACAGAGGAGGCAACGGCCTAGTGGTATTATCGCTCGACTGTTAATCCAGAGACCCAGATAATGTCCTGGGGACCTGGGTTCAAATCCTGCCATGGCAGATAGTGTAATTTGAATTCAATAAATATCTGGAATTAAGAGTCTAATGATGACCGTGAATCCATTGTCGATTGTCGGAAAAACCCATCTGGTTCACTAATGTCTTTTAGGGAAGGAAACTGCCATCCTTACCTGGTCTGGCCTACATGTGACTCCAGACCCACAGCAATGTGGTTGATTCTTAACTGCCCTCTGGGCAATTAGGGATGGGCAATAAATGCTGCCTGGCCAGCGATGCCCTCATCCCATAAATGAATAAAGAAAAAAAACATCTCAGTTCTGCAAAGAGCCTCCATGTTGGTCACTATGAGCACCAGTCACACACATCCAATAATTACCAACCCCTCAGAACCTTCACAGCATCAATGCAATGCAGTTGCAGGATGCTTGGGAAGTTGAGATCTGCCTTTCAGGACGATCCAGCAGTTAAGGGTTGCTGGAAGTACATTTCGGATTCAGGGGCAGGGACCCAGCTCTCAAGGCGGTTTGTTTGCTCTCTTAGTGCTCCTCACTTGATATCTACTTGAATAGTTGCAGCATTCATACCTTGCCATGCTGTGCCATTCAGCTTAGCATGTTGATGCTCAGACAGAGCTGAAAGGCTCTCAGTATTGTTGTACTGACTTGGTCTTTTGCGCAGACACACAGGCAGGCTATTTGTCATACATGTCAGTGGGGATCAGTTCAGGGTGAATGGATGTCTTTCTGAATGGCCCACTGAAACATCAATTTAGCACTTGTTGTATATGTCAGCATTCCAGTCACAGTCACCGACTGTCTAGGGGTTTGACCTTTGTCAGTCATCTGTTTAGGCCAGTCTTTGGGAGGGCCAGTCTCAGTGTAGTCCGAGCAGAATGTCTCACATCACCCTAGCGTGCTGCACTCTCCAAAATTGAAGCAGGCAACAGGTGATGTGATTGATGCTAAAGAGCTCGGGGAATGGGAGCAGTCTTCCAAGGACGAGAATGAGGACATTGAAGAAGAGTAAACTCACAGATATGCATGACAGTACAGCATTGGGCACTACAACCTGGACAGAAACTGATTGATACCTGGTTCCAGTATATGTGAGGTCAGTGCAGCAGTCAAATGTTGGCCATCATGCCGGCATTTCAGTTGCATTTTAGGTGTGAACTGCAGACATTACTTAAAAAAAACAAAAAACTGCAGATGCTGGATGTCAGAGGCAAAAACAGAAATTGCTAGAAAAACTCAGGTCTGATAACATCAGTGAAGAGAAAGCAAAGTTAATGTTTCGGGTCCAGTGACCTTTATTCAGAATCCCGAGTGTAGGGAGTATAAACATCAATAAGGGGGAAATGAATGAAACTAGAGCGACAAATCCCAGGATCTGATGGTTTCTATCCACAGGTGTTAAAAGAGGTAGGACAGCACATTGCCGATGCCCTAACCATAGTCTTTCAGAGTTCCCTGGATTCAGGACGTGTACCTCTGGATTGGAAATATGCTTATATCACTCCACTCTTTAAGAAGGATAACGGAGGAAATAGCCTAACATCTATGGTGGGGAATTGTTGGAGTCTATAATCAAGGATAGGGTAACTGATCACTTGAAAAATTTTAGTTGATCCGGTAGAGTCAGCATGGATTCATGGAGGATAAGTGATGCCTAACAAAGCTCATACAGTTTTTTGAGGAGGTGACAAAATTGGTGGACAGAGGTAGGTCAATGAATGTTGTTTATACGGATTTCCAGGAGGCTTTTGATAAAGTCTCACACAGGAGACTGTTAACTGAGGTGGAAGCCCATGGAATTAAGAGCAAATTGCTGACATGGATGGGAAATTAGTTAAGTGGCAGGAAACAGAGTTGGAATAATGGGTAAGTACTCGAATTGGCAAGACATGACTAGTGGTGTCCTGCAGGGATCTGTGTTGAGACCTCAATTATTCACAATATTCATTAACGACTTGGATAACGGCGTAAAAAGTCAAACATTCAAATTTTCTGATGACACAAAATTGGGCACTATTGTAGACAGTGTTGACAACATAAAATTACAGC